GGCCCGGGTCTGGGGGTGGGCGGGACGTGCCCCTCCTGTGCCATCCCCGGCGCGGCCGCGGAGCCCCCGAGGGGCACCCGGAGGTGTCTGGGAAAGAAGGGAAGAGAAGCAGGGGGAGGTTCTGGTTTCCCAGACTGATGGCCGATGAGCTGCTGTGCATCACCCGAGCTGGGCTCGTGTCCCCGGTCCTGTCACTCGGCAGAGACCTGCGATGGGGCTTTATCTCCATCCTCTCTCAGCCCGGTGTGTTGCTGGACTGTGGCTCCTGTGGTTCTGACCATCCCACCCTGCTCTGGAGGTCAGTTCCTCACTGAGTCCTTGAACATTGCTGGAAAATAAGAGACTGGAAACTCTCCCGTCCTGCCCCCTGGTGCATCCCCAGCGATGGCAAAGGGGCTGCGCTGGGTCGCGGCAGGTTAGGAAGCAGGTTGCTCAAAATCTTTGCTTAAGGTGGGAAATAGCTGTGCCAAACCATCCTGCCTGCTGCTGTCAGCAGTGACAGACAGGGATCTGGGAACAACTGCTTGGGATGTGGGTTGTCAGGAGCTCTTGTGCAAGCAATTCTTGCTTAATTCTCTTCTGTGGCTTATTTTTCAGCAGAAACACTTGCCACATGAACCCCTTCCTGCAGCTGCCTGGGGAGGTCTGTGCACCACAGGCCTTACCCGCCTCTGTGTCCTGGAGATTGGATTCACAGCTGATGGGAAATGACCCACCCTGTGCAGCAAGGCCACCTCCTCCCATCCTGACTTGTCTCGACTCCCTGTCTGCCTTTTCTCTAATGCATTTTCTGGAAACCTGCCTCCTTCCCTGGGGCTGGTCCCAGAGGAGTTTTAATGGCTTTTCTTCATCCACTTTTGTAGTGAGGTGATTAATAATTGAAGGAATGAAGTCATTGCTGAATAGAGATGAAGGCAAGGAAGAACAGAGGAGGGCATTTGACAAAGGACAGTCAGGTCCTCCTGGTCTTCCTGCCTCTCCCACCCCTCTGCCTGACTAAAATGTCCTGCTCCTGCAGGATCCTCTCCAGCACACAGGCCTGGATGCAGGAGGGCTGGACCTCAACCCTAAGGCAAGGGACTGTGTGGCTTGTGTTACCTGCAGGGCAGGGGCACATCCACTCCTTCCGTGGCCGTTCTGGGACCTGGGCTGGCCAACTGGGAGAGTCCTGCCTGGGCAGGAGCAAGAGAAAGAACAAAGCCCCCAGCAGCAAGGGGCAGGGGCAGCAGCTGCCTCCAGGGACACCAGGCAGCCGTGGGCAGGTGGAGAAGGCATCCCCGGCCACCTCCTGAGCCCCCCTGTTCTGCAAAGGAGGGGGAGGAGGGCAGGGAGGTGGGTGGTCCAGAGCAGGGACAGGCAGGCAGGGGCTGCAGCACCCGTGTCATCATTAGCCAGGGATGACCCTGCCCACTGCAGAGGGTACGTTTCATAGAATCATGGAATCATGGAAAGGTTTGGGTTGGAAGGGACCTGAATGATCATCCAGCCCCAACCCCCGGCATGGGCAGGGACACCTCCCACCAGCCCAGGCTGCTTCAAGCCCCATCCAACCTGCCCTTCAACACGGCCAGGGATGGGGCAGCCACAGCTTCCCTGGGCAACCTTGGCCAGGCTCTCACCACCCTCACAGCAAAGAATTTCTTCCTAAGATCTAACCTAAATCTCCTCTCTTGCAGTTGTAATCCAT